AGGCGGGCCTGGCGGCGTGGGGCGAGAGGAGGGGCGGGGCCTGGCGGCGAAGAAGGAAACTCTCCTCTCCAAAGTAGCGCCGTGAGGGGGATGGAGGAGAGCGTGGGATTCCCGCCCTTCCAGTGGCGCGAGGAGGGGCGGGGCCTGGCGGCTAAGAAGGAAACTCTCCTCTCCAAAGTAGCGCCGTGAGGGTAATGGAGGAGAGCGTGGGATTCCCGCCCTTCCAGCTGGGCAAGTCCCGCTTCCAGCAGGTGCGGCCGCCGTCCCGCGAGGCGCGCGAGTCCGGGGGGTGGCCGGGAAGGGGGGCGCCGTCCCGCTCCCGCAGAGGGGCTCCGCCGCAGCCGAAGAAGCGCCTGCCTCGGCGAGCCCCGCCCCCGGGCTGGCGACGCCGCGCGCTGATTGGGTCTCCGCGGCATCGCTCAGCGCCGGCGCTTCCCGCCCTTTTCTGGTTCCGAAAAGCTGGCACTGGATTGGCGCTCGCGTTCTGTGGGGGGCGTGGCTTGCCGAGGGTTGGGGGCGTGGCTTCTGCAGGGGACGGGGTTTGAGCGTCGCCGCTGGCAGGGACGCGGGGGCGTGTGGAACTCCCTGCCACGAGAGATGAGTCAGGGCAGGTTTTGGTACAGGCGGAGGAGCTTGTCCTGGAAAGGAGCCTTCTCTGCCTGAGGCCTTGGGACAGCTGCTGCCCGGCGGGCAGGCAGGGCTGACTCAGTAACAGCCGGCTTCGTTCACATCGGAGTAGAGCCCCCATGTTCAGAGACAGTGTACCTCTGAATACCAGTTGCACGACTGCAGTGAAGGACTAGATATTGGCAAGGGGCCCCGGAACTTATAGGCACTCAGGCTTGTGTTGGAAGCAAGAGGTTGGAGCAGAGGCTCACCTGATGACATTTTTCTATGAGCCGAGCACATTCGTGTCTGGCCCTTTCTCTGTTTCATCCTAGCAACGAGCCCGTGAGGTCTGTAATGCTGAGAGGTTTGACTGGGTCAAGTGAGCTCTGTGGCTGTGTGTGGATTTGAACCAGGGTTTCTGAGATCTGAGACGAAGAGCAGCCATTCCTCTCACAGTCTTCTCTGCTGGTCTAATGTAGCAGGGCTGTTCTTATGTGGGCTGTAATTGGTTCCGGCGTATATCCCATAAAATCTTCATTGCTCCTCAGGCTTCTCTGCTTGCACAAGACTAATGATTCTTCTTCTGTTAGTTCCTTTGAAACTCCATTGGTTCAGAACACCACACCCGGGTTACCATCGGGCATCAGGTGAAACACAGATGTCACACCCACATCAGTTACCAGGTACGGTTCAAGGTTCAGGTTATCACCTACCGAGCCTTTGGTCGCCTTAGACCCACATACGTGCAGGATCGCCTCTCCCACTGTGCTGCAAGCCTTCTCAAGGTCCCACCCTGCAAACGGGTCGACTGACACTGTATCTCCCTGAGAAAGGCACAGTATAAATGCAGTCAGTAATTAAGGACAGCCACTACCCATATTCACGTACATTCTTCGATGTGGCTCCCACCTTGCCAAAGAGCCTGCCTGGGTAGGTCAGGAAGGTCCCCGTATTTTTACAATTTTGCAGGATGTGTACGACAGCAGTGTAAAAGGATTAGAACTCCAGTGGATTGAAACAGTCCAGAAGGTTGCTTTTATGATGGTAGTCTGTTGCAGTGTATAGATTCAGGTGGGTCACCATGTTGGTCTGAAGCTGCAGAACAAAGGTTGGGTCCAGTCAGGCATCTTTAAGACCCACAAAGTTTAATTAGGGGTATAAAGTTTAATTCTGGGCGGGAAAGCTTATCGCCGGATTAAAACTTCATTGGCCTTAAAGGTGCCACTGGTGTTCCGTTACGATGTATGTCTCTTTTTCAGCTCTATGAACCTCTGTCATATCCCCCTGTTGTCATCTCTTTACTGAACTGGGAAGTCCCAGACACTCTTCGGCCTTTCCTCATAGGGAGGGTGCTCCAACCCCCCGAAATCATCTTGGTTTTCCTCCTCTGCACTTTGTCCAGCTCTGGAAAAAACATGGAGATATTAATTTTTTTACAGAGAAGTTAGATTGTTGTTGTTCAGTCGCACAGTCGAGTCCGACTCTTCGCGACCCCATGGACCAGCTCCCACCAGGCCCTCCTGTCTTCCGCCGTCCTCTGAAGTTGGCTCAATTTCATGTTCGTTGCATCGATGACACTGTCCAACCATCTCATCCTTTGCCGTCCCCGTCTTCTTTGACCTTCAATCTTTCCCAGCATCAGGGTCTTCTCCAGTGAGTGCTCCCTTCTCATTTGGTGGCCAAAGTATTTGAGCTTCAGTTTCATTATCTGGCCTTCCAGGGAACAGTCAGGGTTGATTTCTTTGAGGATTGACTGATTTGTTCTTCTTGCAGTCCAAGGGACTCTCAAGAGTCTCCTCCAGCACCATAGTTCAAAAGAATCTATTCTTCGGCGCTCGGCCTTCCTTATAGTCCAACTCTCACAGCCATACATGACTACTGGGAATACCATTGCTTTGACCATGCGGACTTTTGTTGGCAGGGTGATGTCTCTACTTTTTATCATGCTGTTTAGGTTCGCCATCGCTTTCCTCCCAAGGAGCAGGCGTCTTTTAATTTCATGGCTGCTGTCA